GCCTTGCACCCACATTGACTGCAGGTGTGCCCCCCAGCCAAACAGGCTAGCGTCCGTCGTGTGAGACGGTCGGGCTCCTTGAAGTGAGACCCTCTGGCTAATGCTCGTGATGACCACCACTTGAGGGACTGTAGTGTTTCTGGCGGAACCCTTACCTTTCTGTTGGAGGAGCTGAGGTTCAGCCTCTGGAATGGAAGGAGGAACTATTAGAAGTTCCTGGAATGAAGTCTCGCCCAGGGTACTATTGCTATGCATGATACCATCTTCCCCAGCAGCTGTGAGAGTACGACCAGGAGAACTTTTTGTTCCCTGCATACCCTGTAGACTAGGGAATGTATGCTGTCGCGACGTTCCTGTGACAGGTAGACCTGCCCCCTGAGTGTGTCTATGATTGCACCTAGGCGTAATAGGTGGGTGGCTGGTCTGGTCTGACCCTTTTGGAAGTTGGCCAAGAACCCATGATCCTGTAGGACACTGATTGTCAATGCCAGGTCCGATTGCGCGGCCTGTGGAGACAGTGATTGGATGAGAATGTCGTCCAGGTAGCACTGGATGTGCACCGGTATCGCTCGTAGGTGTGCGGCCAGTACTGTCAGGATCTTGGTGAAGACTTGTGCAGCTGACAAGAGGCCAAACAGCAGTGCCCTGTATTGGAAGTGGTGTCCCGCGTAGCAAAACCGAGTATGAGCCAAGGTGGCGCAGCAGTTAGAGTGCAGTACTGCAGGCCACTTTAGCTGACTGTGTTCTCACCGGCTCAAGGTTGACTCAGCCTTCCATCCTTCCGGGGTAGGTAAAATGAGGACCCAGATTGTTGGGGGCAATGTAAATATACATATATACATTGCTTACTGGTGTACACCGCTTAGAGAGTGCTTGCACTTAAAGCGATATATAAGTCTCATAAATAAATAAATAAATAAAACCTGAGGAACCATTGGTGACTATGGGCAATGGGGATGTGAAGGTACGCTTCTGTGAGATCTATGGACAACAGGAAGTTGCCGTGTCGTATGCTGCCCAAGATGGAGTGGAGGGTTTGCATTTTGAACTTTCGATGGGCGATATGATGGTTCAGACCCTTGAAGTCTAGGATTGCTCTCCATCCCCCCGAGGACTTGGGAACCACGAATAGGATGGAGTAGAATCCCTGTCCCCGGTTTCCCACCGGTACCTGTTCTATGGCTTTTATTTCTAGGAGGTATCGAATGGCCTCTCGCATTAGTTTGCTTTTGGAGGGGTTCCTTGGCTGAGAGCAAAGGATGAAGCATTCTGGGGGGTTGGATATGAACTCCAGGAACAGACCAAGGCGTATGGTTTGTCAGACCCATGCGTCCATAGTGGTAGCTTCCCACTGGTGAGTGAAATTTGCCAGTCTGCCACCTACGGGGAGGGTTGTTAGGGAGTCATTTGAACTTTCTGTATGGGCGGCCTCCTCCACGAAAGGGCCACTTGCTCTGGGTTTGGTGTCTGGGTTTGGATTTGGGTCCGGACCTGTCTGGCTGACGATCTTGCCTGGGAGTGAAGGGAGTGTAGGGAGTGTAGGGCCGGGATGTCTGGGAGGGCTGAGAGAAGCCCGAGCCTGGCCCTGACCGAAAGGACTGCCTGCGGGCGTATGGGGTTGAACACCTGTCAGCCCACCTGCTGGAGTGGGCCAGGACTTTCTGCTTGTCCTTGTTTTCGATCAGATAAGGGTTCAGCGCTTCTCCGAATAGTTGCCCACCCTGGTAGGGGGCCGTGGCTAGACGCCACTTAACCTTTTGGTCAGTTTGCCAATGTCTGAGCCATAGCATCCTGCGCGCTGAGACGTTGGATGCTATTGCTCTAGAAGAGGACTTGGCCGCATGCAATGTGGCATCAGAGACATACTCTGATGCTGCAGCAATCTTGCTCAGGTCCTGTTGTGCCCTTACCTCCTCCTGAGGAAGCGTGGCTTGGAGCTGCCAAATCCAGAGTAGGGAGGTTCTTGCAAAAAAGGATGCGCAGGTGGCGGCTCTCACCGCCCATGCCGCTACCTGGTGGATCCTGCGGAATGTGAGCTCCCACCTTCTTGTCGTCAGACTTCAGTACCTCTGCCATGTCCCCTGACACTGCTGACGGGGAAAAAAGGAAGCCAAAGGGCTCGTCTACCTTTGGTACCTCAAGATCCTCTGACTGTTCTGATGTTGTACTGAACATCTTCTTGTCTGATCCCCCCGGAGTGGGGAAGGTGCCCGGTGATGCCCACTGTTTCTTAATGGTACTCCGGAATAGTGTAGGATAGGGGACGTGGTGTTGAGTTACCACGGGTTCTAAGAACAACGGATCTGAACCTGGTGGTGGGTCTGGTTGCGGAGTATAGTCTGGCCCAATGTTGGCCATTAAACTGGCTCTGCGGAGCAGGGGCAGGAAAAAGGCAGGGTTGAATACCCCTCTGAATGGAGGAGGGTCTGGAGGAGGCTCCTCCTCCTCCCACCATGACATATCGAGTTGGTTGTCCTCTGTAGGGGAGGATTCCCTGCTGTGGGAGGGTCGTGACGGAGAGGAGGATGCCTGATCTGCGGCTTCCCCTGATTGGGGCTTGAATGGGGGTTCCATGGATTTGGTTCTCAGGCCATGGTTAGTCCTAGCCACCATCATCCTGTTTAGCGTCTGCTCAATTAGAGCTTGTAGACGGTCCTCGGATGGGTAGGGCTCGGGTTCTGCCTCCCTGAGACCTGCCGCTGTAGGCGTGAAAATGGCCTCAGGGATGGAATGTGCAATCCGTGGAGCCTGTGGTTCCACCACAAAGCCCTGGGGGGAACCCTCTGGGAACCATACTCCTTGGGTGGAAGGTCCCAAGGGAAGGTCAAAGGATGCATTCCCTATCTGTTCCGCTTTTGTCTTAGCCTGTTTTTGTGCCTTGGAGAATTCCCTCTGAAGGGCCTGGTGCCTTCTGCTAGCCTGTTTCTCTGCCAACTTGGAAGGTTTTCTTGCAGAAATGGACTTGATCTTTGCTTTGATCCTGCCTGCCACCTCCTGTTTGGAGGATTTTTGTTTTTTGTGGCTGGTGGGAGAGGAGGCATGCTCAGGGGCTGAGGCACCGTGGACTCCTACATTCTGACGTGAGCTTTCAGAGAGGGAGCTCTGGCAGGGGATCAGTTGGCAAGAATTGGCAAGCAGGGATAGCAGGGAATGGTCCTCCTGCTTTCCTGATCGCCTGGCCGGTAAAGGGACCGCTGCCGTCCCACCTCTTTGGGGTCCGCCCTTCTTACGTCCACTGGTCTGCAGCGGCGGAACTGTAGTAATGGTGAAGTGCGGTCAGAGTAGGTGCACCAGGGTTGGGCAAAGGGTGTTTGATACCTCCTTTTTATTATTATTATTATTATTATTATTATTATTATTATTATTAATAATATTTTTTATTATTATTATTTATTTTATTTATTTAATTAATGTATCTAATTTAGTTATTTACCTGTATTCTGTTTAATTCTATTTTATTTTATTTTGTGAACTGGAGAATCAAATAACAAAACGAGGGGGGGGGAATAGAGTGTGGGGGGGTAAGGCTGCAGTTTAAAGAGATCGCTATTAAAAGGAAAATTTTTTAACCATCCAGGGGAAGAGAACGGCAGACACGGAAAGAGATGAAGGAGATGTTCGTTCCCTCAGAAAAAAACCAAGCCACCACCTGATTTAGGGTCTAGCTTGGCCCCGCTGGGTCTCCACATTCTCCTCAGCCAGATGAAGTGGCTGCCGGGATGATTCTGAGTCCCTGAAGGGGAATCGGAAGCACCCCTGCGTCCCTGTGATTGGATGCAAGAGGGCTTCCTGTCTGTTGGCGGGAAATTTGAGAGAGAAGGGGAGAAGAAGGTGGAAGTTCCTCCCCTCCTCCATGTGTCCCATCGCTCAAAATGGCGATCAGGACGCCTTGGCACTCTATGCTGCGGCGGGGGCTATCAGGGAAATCTCGAAGGCTAGATTGTTTTGCCGAAACTGGAATGCTCCCCGAAGCCACGGCCGCCGATCGGCTGGCTTTTCAGTGAAAAGAAACTGACAGGGAATCCCCCCCCCCCTCCGGAGCATGGGGGAATCCGGCTGCAGTATGAATTCGGCTCCCGTAAGAAGCCGCGGCCTCCGCTCAGCTGACTCTCCTTATGAGGCTGACGGGGAATCCCCAACCCCCTCCAGAACGTGGGGGAATCCGGCTGCAGCGTTGCGCGTAATGCTGAGCAGCTGTCTGGATTTCCCCTCTGGAGGGAGATTAGCTTAAGATGTAGCTCAACGTTGGTCCCAATGCTGAACGTCCAGAGGATTTCCCTAAGGCTATTACCCAGTTGAGCACCCAGGACTGGGGAGGGAAGGAAACCCCTACCCCAAGCCTGTCCACAGACTGACTCTCACAGAGCTGGGCTTAGCTCTGCTGGTGTAGTTATGGAGTTAGACAGGAATCCACCAATGTTTAATTCTATTACCTTCCTTAGACCGGGAGCCAATCTATCACGTCCACCTGGGCTGAAGACCGAGTCAAGAATGGGAGGAGCTACCCCAGGATGGGCGTGACAAATTAGCTGACCCAGTCTAATGGGCAGGAAGGCACAGTTAACCCATTGGTGGATTCTACGTCTCCAGTGCTGGAGAACATAAAGACTGATGAGGAACCATTTTAGGTCTACAAAGGTTTACATTTCTGTTTTTTTTAATGATTCTGTGTGGTAGAGCTTATTTAATATATATATATCTAAATTGCCTATCAGTAAAAAAAAATCTTAGTAGGGAGCAATCTATTAAAACTGTACAAAAGCAGCAGAATACCAATTATAAGAACAGAAACATGCATATAGAATAGCATAAACAATAAAACACAATCACAAGAACACAGTGTTAGAATTGCGAAACACCAAAATGCCTGATTATCATCTGGCACTTCAAAAACCAAAATTCAGGCAGACCATTTAGCAACTAAAGAAACTTCCTTCTTCTTGCGAAGGACAGGGTCAGAAGAGTGTTGCCCCTGCTCCTTAAGTCTGAGCGGTGCTAACCTTGCTGCTGATAATCTTCTGGACCTCTTCATCTGGGGAAGTTGGTGTGGTGGTTAAGTCAGGATTGCTGTTGCTGATACTTTTGGAATGAGAGAGGTGAAGGCTGACAGGGCGCCCAGTTGAACGGGACAAGGTAGCATATTGAAGGGTACCACTGTGGGGTGGCACTCCAGTCTCTGGAAGAAATACAGAGTGAGTTAGACTGGGAGAGTGATTTCCTCTACCATTTATGCAGATGTTTAAAAAATGTCTATGACTCTCTCATACGTAATTGGGCTGTTCATTATTAGATTCTCTTTCATTCAAGGAGAGGGATATTGCCATAAATTTGAGAATAACCTCTTCTCTTTTCCATTAGGGTACTCCATCTCCTTCCTTTCAGAAAACCCATTAAAATATTTTTCTACTGCAATTTCACCACTGGAGCTTCTTGAATTTAATTCTGTGTTATAATGCTGAAGTGTTACAAAAGCTATTACAGGATGTTCTCTTACACTGTATGTTGTACGGGTACTATTTTAACCTCCTGCTACCTATAATGGAGCATGTATGCTACTCTCAATCTTGGTTGCTGCAGTGGGAGGAGATGGAGAGACTGGGTAAGCAACCACATTACAGGCAGACTTCACTTAATGACTGCCCTGTTTAATGACCATTTGAAATGACGATAGTGCTGAAAAATGTAACTTTATGATCGGTCCCAACATTTATGATTGTCACAATATCTTTTATGGTCTTATGGTTGACCTTCAGGCACTTTGCAACCAATGGATGTTTACAACTGTTGCAATGTCCCACGGTCAGGATACCACACTTCATAGCTGGATTCTAACAAGCAAAGTTGATAGAGAAATTGGCAGTACAACTGTAATTCATGGTGAGTCACATGTGTCAGAATCCAATTATATTTCATTTCTAGCTACCTACTCTGGAAAAAAACCCATTTCTTACTCTCTGTGGATTCTGTCATACTACGAAAGGGGAGGAGGAAGCAAGGGGGTTTTATGACTCTCACTTCCTTCATTTAAACTACAAAGGACTGGATGTTGATTCTCATCAAGAGGACTGACAAAACACCTGGTCAATAGTTAGAAAAGCACTAAATGAAACTAGGCATGCATATAAAGCACAAGCCGATAAAAAAGGGTTGAGCCTTCTCATTATAGGAGAAATGGTGTACTTATCTACAAAATACCTAAAATCCCTACAACCCTGTAAAAAACTTGGACCAAAATATATAGGGCCTTTTCCAATTAAGAGAATCATAAACCCAGTAACAGTAGAATTAGAATTACCCAAAAATCTTAGGCAAATACACCCAATTTTCCACTGCAGTTTGCTGAAAAGAGAACATCAGTCACCCTTATGGCCAAAAATCCCCCCACCATTACCACCAATCATGGTGGAAGGAGAACAACACTTCGAGATAAAGGAAATCCTAGATTCTAGGAGATATCATGAGACAACTCAATACCTAATAGCATGGAAACACCTCCCCGCCTCACAAAACAAGTGGGTCCATAAATGTCATGTCAGAGCCCCGAAGCTATTAAAGAAGTTTCATACAGAGTATCCTAACAAGCCAGACTAACTTTTATACCTGTTTTGTTTTCTTTACAGGTGGATCTCTCTTATTTTTAAGGGGGGCAGGATGTCAGAATCCAATTATATTTCATTTCTAGCTACCTACTCTGAAAAAAACCCCATTTCTTACTCTCTGTGGATTCTGTCATACTACGAAAGGGGAGGAGGAAGCAAGGGGGTTTTATGACTCTCACTTCCTTCATTTAAACAACAAAGGACTGGATGTTGATTCTCATCAAGAGGACTGACCATAACAATATGTCCATCGCCTTTCATCTACTCTCTCTCTGAAGTCTCCCTTTTGCCGGCAGTGATGGAAAAGGGGTGGAACAATGTAACGCCTGGGATCTGGGAAAAGAGAGAATGAGTGATTGTCGCCTGGAAGGACTGTGGGGTGGGGGCTGCTTGGGAACACTTAAAACATTGAATGGTAGGGGTTGATCCCTCAGATCCTGTCTAGAATGCCTGCAATCATTTTCTCTTAATAAAGAAGCCTGTTGGAAGAGATATTCCAAGAGTTCTGTCTTCTTAAGATGTAAAGTGAGGTGGGTCCTTACAACATGTCTCAGTTAATAACCTGTGGTGATTTGCTTAATAACCACAGAAGTGAAACTGTAAGTCTGATCATGTGGTATTTTCATTAATCCCTGTGTCACTTAGTGACAGAGTTGCTGGTCCCAATTGTGGTCATTAAATAAGGACTACTTATAGTTGGAGCCTTTCAAATTCTATTTTTAATTTCAAATTGGGAGAGGGAATATCCCAAGTAGGATAGGATTTCTGCTCAGTATATTCTCCTCTGCAGAAATTAAGAGAACCATCAAGCTGCCCTTGATCCTTGGAAGTCTGGTTTGGCTAGCCGTGTGCTTGTTTCTAAGACCTCAGCAGCATCTAAATCAGTCATCCCAGATTTATAATCATTCAGCTAAAGATGTCAAATGTAAACAAGTCTTTGTTCTTTGCATACAACTGAAATTGATAAATGGTGCTATCTTCTACTTCATCCATTTTAACAGATATATTAATAATATAAAAAGTTAAGGATTTTTTTTGTGAACATAGGTCCTCGCTGAATACAGCCAGTCCTCAACTTACGATCACAATTGAGCCCAAAATTTATGTTGCTAAGTGAGAAATTTGTTAAGTGAGTTTTGCCCCATTTTACGACTTTTCTCACCACATTTGTTAAGTGAATCACTGTAGTTGATTAATAACACAGTTGTTAAGTGAATCTGGTTTCCCCATTGACTTTGCTTGTCAGAAGTTCGCAATAGGGGATCCCATGGCTCCGGGACACTGCAACGGTCATAAATGTGAGTCAGTTGTCAAGCTTCTGAATGTAAATCACATGACCGTGGGGATGCAAAGTGTGAAAAGTGGTCATAAGTCACTTTTTTCAGTGCTGTTTAACTTCGAACAGTCACTAAATGAACTACTGTAAGTCAAGGACTATCTGTATTTGGAATGCCTCCAATAGCTCCTGAGCTGCAGGCCATGGAAATGGCACACAGCGAATAGGAAAGATGATCAGACACACAGTTCTTTGCTTGCCCATACATATAGCAAGCATTTGTGATCCCTGGCAAACCTGGCTCCATCACAGGCAGACGGAAAACGTAGGAGATGTAAGAGGCCAACAGATGATTTTGGCCATGCTGATCTTGGCTATTCTCCAGGCTCTTGTGGATCTGGTTCACCATCACAGCAATAGCTTCAAATGCTGCACGACCCAAGCTCACTGGAAGAAGCAAGAAAAAAAATGGGGGAAGGTGAGACTAAACAGAGTAAGACAAGCATTAGTTATGGAAGAGAAATTACACACACCCCAAAAATGGGCAATTTATTTACAATAAATATCAAAGATGACATTCTAACTGATATTAAGAATTCTTAGTATGTTTAGTATCTACAGTCATCTATAAAATTTTCTCTGTTTCCCCACCTTCTAATGAAAAAAGGGGTGCAGAATGAAAAACTAGAAGAGGTTTCTACAAGTTCAATATGAATTATATTAGCATTGACTGTGATTTTATTAAAACTATCAGAGGATGAATGTCTAGGGCTTTTCTTCTACTTTATGCACACAAGACCCAGGAAGAATTTCTCCTGCAGTTCTTCTAATTCACCTGCTTCACAGCATCATCTCTTTCATCCTGGGATGGGAAACTTTTCAGTAGGCAGAGACTGCAGGTAGCAGGTAATAACATGGTGTATCAATGGATGGCAACAGCAGCTTTGGGCTTTCCTTTTAACTTTTACAGGGCTTGAGGTTTTTCTAAGTACTTCTAGGAGTATAAAGCAAGTTCTCTTTTTCTTTTTAATTTGTATCCCATATAGCAAGGGGATTAGCTGGCCTCCTAAAAAGAAAAGACTGGGAACTGGTATGTTATTATGTGCTATGTTACAGTGAATAAAATGTTTGGCATAAAGTGAAAATGAGTTTCTTTTCACTACAAACTCCTTCACATAGCAGAAGACACCAAAAAACTCACTAAGATTGACTTCAAACAATAAGAAGGACAATGATATGAACAGCATATAAATACATCTATAAATACAAAAAATACTAATAAAAAATCTGCCTTTAAAAGATTTCTTAAAAATTAGATAACTGAAAGGTTTTTGGTCAAATAGGACCTGTTATATATTCAATGTAATGCAAAAGAAAACATTTTAAAATTATTGTGTATGATAACTTAGTATATTAAAAAATAAATTTATGACAGAAAAAAATAAAATACTTTCTGTACAAGGACACTAACAGACTAATAGAAATACAACAATAACTGACAGCACCAGCTAGCTACTTGTCTCAAGTAGAATCATACCACTGTTATCCACAGCGATGCTGTAAAAAGGTCTGTCCCTCTGAAATGTGTATTGATACTTCAACCCTTCTTTGTTATGCTGGCACTGAGAAACAATTCATCTCTCTTACTGAACAGAACAGAATATGAGAGTTGGAAGGATCTTGGAGGTCTTCTAGTCCAACCCCTTACTCAAGCAGAAGACCCTATGCCCTTGTGAAGGTTCATTTTCTTAGTGAGTAGAGGGAATCCCATATCCCAAACATGTTTCCTTCCATCCAACTCTGTAAGAGTGAGGATTTTTTTTAAAAAAGTGGGGCTTTACGTTATTTCACTTGTCTCAGATAACAAGAAAATCCTTTCAGAGGAAATAGAGAGGACCACAGATACAGCACTCACCAATCTGCCCTGCAATGACAGGTGGGTACACAATGAGTTGGATCAGCTTGTTGAGAATCTGATGACTGAAGGCCACCAAAGGTTCCAGGCTAGCCACTCGTAAGTTGCCTACACTAGATTTCAACTCAGATTCTATGTTGTTCTCTGTTAGGATCACATCTTTGAGTCGAAAGGGAAAGGTATATTCTTCTAGCACATGTATCAAGGTGAAGAACTTGTCCAAGAATGGATCCTGCCAGAACAAAGAATGTATGTAAAATGTATGTAGAACAGTTATTAAGCTTAGCATCATTTATCTATACCAATAATGTGATGTGATAGAGATAAAAATACATACAAATACGAGCCGAGGTGGCGCAGCAGTTAAGAGTGCAGTACTGCAGGCCACTTTAGCTGATTGTGTTCAGCAAGTCAGCGGTTCAAATCTCACCGGCTCAAGGTTGACTCAGCCTTCCATCCTTCCGGGGTAGGTAAAATGAGGACCCAGATTGTTGGGGGCAATGTAAATATACATATATACATTGCTTACTGGTGTACACCGCTTAGAGAGTGCTTGCACTCATAAATAAATAAATATCAAATATTAAGGTTGGACAAGAATTTATGGCTCTCCAGATACTGCTGAATTGTAATGCCCAGAATCTCCAACTACCATGACCAGGAATGAAGGGATTATAGTTTAGCAACATCTCGGGGCGGGGAGAGGGAGGAGGAAGTCATAATACCCAACTCCATATTAAGGAAGATTAGGATTTATCAAAGGTTGATCATTTTTCATTGTAAGAACCTCAGGAACTGCCAAGCCTGCTGTACAGTCACCTTTATTTTCTTAGGCTTAGTGAGATAACTGTTTCATAAATCTGGTCTCTAATACAGACTATTTTATTCTTTTAAGAGTAACTAAGAACATTCTGTTTTTATCAATGGATGCATTGGATGCCAAAATATATTATGAATTTGGAAAAATGATTGGCATGTATTTTGTAAAAAGAAAATTAATTTATATGTGGACTAAGATTTCCATATTAGACTTGGAAGGGGCAAAAGTAATGCAAAAACTAATGCAAATTCCCAGCTGAAAAACAACATGATGATACAACCAAGCCCAACTCTTTTGTTTTCCTAGGGCAACACGGAAGATCAACCACTGACTTGAGTATGGACAGAGGAAACAGCCAGAACTTCCACACTGAAGACCCCTTTGTGATTATCCACCCACTTCATGCCAGGCAGCTGCACCTACAGAGAAGCAATCCAGAAAAAGCCTTATAAACAAAATGCATAAAAAGTCCTGCCAGTGGAAAGTCTAGTAGTCATTATAAAATAGGCTACAATTCTGAAAAATGAAAACTTACAATTAGTCTGACCTGTCAAAGCCCGACACAAATTGAGAGAGGCGGCACTGGGAGTAGGAAGTGAGAAAGGAGGTATCTTTCACAATGAAGCCCAGGTGAGGAAAGGCCCTTCAGCTTCTGCCCTCTAGGAAAACAAAGCCGCTCTTTACTTACATCAGGGGTGAGCACTGAATAGCTGGGTGGAGGCTTGTCAACTGAAACCGGCAGGCAAAACTGCCCTGTTCTCAGCCGTCCATGTTGCATGAGAGGAATCCACTAGGAAGAGAAAACAAGCAAAGTTAAATCCTTGCAGGTTGGCATCTCCACTGCCACTTTTCCTCTGAAATCCAACCCTCTTCTTCCTACTTCACAGATAAGTTTTGTTAAGAAAAGCAGACTTACAATCACATACAGCACATAGAACAACCGGATTCTTCTTCTCCCACCATTCCACCTTCCATATTCAAGGCAATGTAATATTGGTATTGACAACAGTAAACCCCACTGAGCAAAATTCGGAAGTGAATCCTTATTTTGCCCCATATTATGACCTTTCCTGCCACAGTTATTAAATGAATCACTTCAGTTGTTAAGTTAGTAACATGGTTGTTATTAACTGAATCTGGCTTCCCATTGACTTTGCTTGTCAGAAGGTCACAAAGGGTGATCGCATGATCCCAGGACATCGCAACCGTCATTAATATGAGCCAACTGGCAAGCATCCAAATTTTGATCATGTGACCATAGGGATGATGTGACGGTTGTAAGTGTAAAAAATGGTCATAAGTCACTTTTTTCAGTGCCACTGTAACTTTGAATGGCCACCAAACAAATGGTTGAGGACTGCCTGTAAAGGGCATTCCGAGAAAACTGATCAAATATAAATACAGTATATACAATGACAGCTCATACTCTGATTCATGCCAAAATTTGATAGTCTTAAAGCAGGGGATTCTCCTTGTCCCTTTATCTAAGCTTCTTTGCAATGGAAGATAGTGGAGATTTAAACTGGGGCCCTTTTACAATAAATCATAGGCTCTATCTTGTACCTACAGAACTCCGTTATTTCTTTTGAAACTCACTGTATAACCAACAGCAGTCTCCAGAGGTGTATTCTGCTTCTGTTGACAGCTAATATGGTAAAAGCTGAAAAGCAAGTGATGATTGTCTGTCAAATTGGCTGGGATCTTCAGCTTGAACTCCTCATAGAACTCAGGTGACCTGGCATGACAGGGAGGTCAGAAAGCTGACAATAACACTTTATAAAACTTCTCATTTACACATTTGCGATAAAGATCTGCACAAGAAATCAAAGAACATTTTTCTGACAAAGTTTGCATAGTTCAGTGCAGACCAGGGGTATCAAATTGGCAGCCTGCAGGCTAGATACATCACGCACAGGCCACGCCCACCCCGACTCTGCAAAGGCAAAAAACGTTGATACGTCATGATACGTCACATGAGGTGATTGAGTTTGACACCCATGGTGTAGACTAATCAAACAACCACTTGTAACTTATTTACAGCCACCTTCAATTCCCACTCTGCTTGCTAAAAACTCACTTGTTATGGTACACAACAGCTGTGTAAGCCTCTTTGGCAAACTCACTGCAACTTGATTTTCCAAAGATAACCTGGAGCATAAGAAGAAACCAAAACAATATCAGTCAGAAACAGAGAACATGAAACTGGTCAAGGGAGGGAGCACGAGAGATAAACCCCAGTGGTTTTCATTATTTGTCCACAAATATTATATATATCAGTTTACCGAGTTAGCATATTGCCCCCCCCCAACAATCTGGGTCCTCATTTTATTGACCTTGGAAGGATGGAAGGCTGAGTCAATCTTGAAGCCAGTGAGAATTGAACTGCTGCCAACTGCTGCTGACTGCCAGCAGTTCGATTCTCACCAGCTCAAGTTTGACTCAGCCTTCCATCCTTCCAAGGTCAATAAAATGAGGACCCAGATTATTGGGGGGGGTCAATATGCTGACTCTGTAAACCACTTAGAGAGGGCTGTAAAACACTGTGAAGCTGAATGTAAGTCCAAGTGCTATTGCTATATCTCAATAATTCCCATTCTGGCACTTTTGGGAAGGGAAAAGTGATGTGATCCATATCCTTTCCTTTCTTACATTATTCTGATTATTCAAGTCCAGAAATACCATAAGGATAACCTACTGCTACACTGAGCTGATTTTTCCCCCACAACCTTTCAAGTATTTTCAATGGCTATTATAAACATTCTCGTTTACAAACAAAGCAACAAAATCTAATACTTTCCCAATTCCACTAAGAAACACAGACATGGCCTTTCAGAAGCTCTCCCTTAATAACTTTCATAACCCTTGGTTTCATGAATGAAACCATGAGCAAGTTGCTATTTTGCAGGATCATTTCCAAATTGAAAACAACTGAAGAAGATTCCTCCTTGCAGAGAACAGGTCATTCTCCCTTAAATTACTTATTCAGCATGCTTTCTTCTGAACTTACCAAACTTTTTGGCAGGTCATACTGTAGTGATAAACCCTGACTGGCTATTAAATTGGCTGGCAAGCAACAAACAACCTTTAGTACAAAAGCCCAGGCCATGGTTTGAGTATTAAATCTGCTGCAGATAAAGCACAATTTTCATATGGGAAAATGTAGGACTTTGAGTTTCTTTCCTAAACTCAAAATCCTACATTTTCTTATATGAAAATAGGAATTATAGATATATAAGTTGTGGGTCTGATTATAAATGAAGCCCCTCACCCACCCTAAATGGGATAGCTCAAAAGTGAGAATATTTGGGGCGGTCTCTTCAGGGGCTCCCTTCTGCTCCACCATTCCAGTGATGGATGAAAGGAGGAAGGAAGGAAGCAGCTGAGAATGGTCTCACTCACAGGCATGGCTTGGCTAGGATCTTCTCCAGCCATAAACTGCAGTTTCACTGCAATATTTCGCACCGAGCCTTGACGGCTGCTAAAATTCAGGCTCTGGGGATAAATGTAGAGTAGATTCCTGGGGGGAAAAAGAAGAGAAAGAAAAATGTTAGACACAAGAGAAGGAGGAATATATGTTCTTAAAGCCATAGAAATAGAAAACTTTATCTTCCATACCCCCAATTCCAGAGCAGAATGTTTTTGCATGAGATGCCCCTCTTCCGCCTGCTAGCTTTGCTGTTTTTCAGAATTATGCCATTATTCTTGCTTCCCAAGTTTTTCATTTTTCCTTCCAATCTTTTGCATTATGTGTTCACAACACCCACTTAATTCTTCTTTCTTTCTTTCTTTCTTTCTTTCTTTCTTTCTTTCTTTCTTTCTTTCTTTCTTTCTTTCTTTTTCTTTCTTTTGTGGCTTCCTCTGCACCTCTCATTCTTTATATATCTGTAAATGTCTGGATTTCCCTAAACCTGGTTATACATACCTTTCATAATTAGGAGATGCTGTTTTGAGAATAAGGATTCATACACTTTAAAATAAGTTTGTTATTAGTCTGACCTCAAGTATTGTTTGCTATCTTAAAAAAGATGTGAATTGTTTTCCCAGAAAAATGGAAGAGAGTGATTACACAGAAAAAAACCAGAGGCATGGCATGGACAACTCTGATGTAGACATTCAGATCATCCCAGCCCCCCAAATAGCAGCAAATTACACAGCATGCTCCTCTGGCCAGCCCAGCCTGGATAAGTACATTGAGTCTATCCTCAAGCTGTGCAATTCCCCCAAACAAACTGAACATCTTTGTTGTAATCTGGCTCCTGCCTAGATTTATGAAATTCTATTGCCCCAAAAAAGGATCTTTGTGCCCCATCAGTGATTAAAGTAGAATAAGAGCCAAGTTTGAAAATAGTGCTGACTCATTCATAGCCAAAGAGGCAAAAAGATCCCAAGTCCAAAATCACCTGTGCCTTTCCACCTGAAATCCTCCCACTTTCTCTATGTAAGAAGAAGCTTCCAGTCACTCTGTTTTACTACCGGACCAATCAGAGCTATGCTGGCTTCTATATTCTTAAGCCTCCTAATGTGCCAGGCAGCCATGCCTGCCCCTTCCCTGATGGGCCTCCAGGAGGCGGCTCTGCAGGAAGAGGTCAGTATGCTGGTCTATGGAGTGATGAAATTCAGCCAGGCACTGCACAACCCCTACAATTCCATGGCACAGAAGCTGGACAAGATCAGGCAACACATGGACTTCTATCAGCAGGGCTTTAAGGTATTATATCATTAGATTCAGAGTATCCAGTTGGACCGGAATGGGATCAGAGAGAGAATTAAAGGACTGAAGGTAACTGGGTTTTAAATGATTTTTTTTTAAGGGAGGAAGTAGGGCCCTGATATAAAAGGAGTTGTGCTGGAGGAAAACAGCAATTTTGTATGCAATAATTTGTCTATATGCCCCAGAAAGATATAAAGCCAATGGATACATAAATAAAACAAAACTCTCATTTTTAACCTAGCTCCAGATTTGTCATGGTAATCTTCCAAATGTACAATGTTAAGATTTTCAACTTATCCTCTTCTAAGTATTTACTCCCAGCATCTGGTCTCTCAAGCTGCTCTTTCCTTCCTCTCCCCAGCTAACCCCTCTGCTCTTTCCAATAGGCAGAGGGCACAATACTGAAACAGCAGACTCAGGCCAAGAGGGAAGAGCTGCAGGAGTTGCTAGTGGATGCATCATCAAAATATGCTGCTAGAAGTTAAGTTGCTTGAAGAAAAGCTATCCAGCATGGATCACCAAGATTTCCAAAACAAAGAATGGGAGCTTGCAGCTATGAAGGTAACTATTTCTTTTAATTCAGCAGACACTACTCTATAAGGTTATGCTTTGTGCTTTTCATAGCTTCACTCTGTAAAATGCCCAGAAACCACAGAGCTTACCTACAGAATGGGCAAAGGGAAAACAATATTTAGCTTCTTTTCTCTATTTCGTTTCCATACCATTCATTCACTCTCTTTGAGTTGAACTGACTACACTGTCACAGCCATCCTGGAGCACTGGGGAACTACCAGAGGACTGGAAAAGAGCTGATGTACTTCCCATCTTCCAAAAAGGAAAAAAATGGATCCAGGAAATTACAGACCTATCAGCCTGACCTCAATACCTGGGAAGATTCTGGAAAAGATAATCAAACAATGAATCAGCGAACACCTACAGGCAAACAAAGTCATTACTAAAAGCCAACACGGGTTTGTCAAAAACAAATCATGCCAGACAAATCTTATTGCATTCTTTGACCAAGTGACAAAATTAGTGGATCAGAGGAATGCTGTGGATATAATTTACTTCGATTTCAGTAAGGCATTTGATAAAGTGGATCACAACCTACTACTTGATAAAATAGAAAAATGTGGGTTAGACAGCATCACCACCAGATGGATTCGTAGCTGGCTGACCAGCCATACTCAGTGTGTGGTCCTCAACAGAACCGCATCTACATGGAGGGAAGTGTGTAGTGGGGTGGCCCAGGGCTCTGTTCTGGCCCAGTGCTCTTCAACATCTTCATCAACGATTTGGACGAGGAGATAGATGGGGAACTCATCAAATCTGCAGATGACACCAAGCTGGCAGGATAGCCAACACTCCAGAAGACAGGCTTAAGATACAGGAAGATCTGGACAGACTTGAACACTGGGCACTATCTAACAAAATGAAATTCAATGATGAAAAAAGTAAAGTTCTACATTTAGGCAAGAAAAACCAAATGTATAGGTATAGTATAGGGGGTACCTTGCTCAATAGTAGTAACTGTCAGAGGGATCTCGGAGTCCTAGTGGACAATCACTTAAATATGAGCCAGCAGTGTGCTGCAGCTGCCAAAAAGGCCAACACAGTGCTAGGCTGCATTAACAAAGGGATAGAATCAAGATCATGTGAAGTATTAATACCACTTTAAAATGCCTTGGTAAGGTGACACTTGGAATATTGCATCCAGTTTTGGTCACCACGATGTAAAAAAGATGTTGAGACTCTAGAAAGAGTACAGAGAAGAGCAACAAAGATGATTAGGGGACTGGAGGCTAAAACATATAAGGAATGGTTGCTGCTATTGGGTATGTCTTGTTTAACGAAGAGAAGGACGAGGGGGGACATGATAGCAGTGTTCCAATGTCTCAGGGGCTGCCACATAGAAGAGGGAGTCAAGCTATTCTCCAAAGCATCTGAAGATAGGACAAGAAGCAATGGATGGAAACTAATCAAGGAGAGAAGCAACCTAGAACTAAGGAGAAACTTCCTGACAGTTAGAACAATTAACCAGTGGAACAACCTGCCTCCAGAAGTGGTGAATGCTCCAACACTGGAAGTTTTTAAGAAGAGAATGGGCAGCCATTTGTTCAAAATGGTATAGGGTTTCCTGCCTGAGCAGGGAGTTGGACTAGATGACCTCCAAGGTCCCTTCCAACTTTATTATTATTATTATTATTAATCATCGCACAGTCAGCCAGATGTTCAGACTGGATTTGGCATTTTGTCTACCTATCGAGTCCTTACTCAGGACCTGGGATAGGCAGATGTGGATGTTTGATGGTATTACAGATATCGTCGCAGGATAGAAGCAGTTCCTAGTAAGGCCGCCTTTTGCAATTGACTAATAGCGAATTTGTCAATGCCAATGGTGTTCAAGTGGTGCTCCAGTTGTTTTGGGATTGCACCTAAGGAGCCTATTACTATTGGTACTACTCTTGCTTGCTTTTGCCACAGTCTTTCTATTTCTATTTGTAGGTCTTTGTATTTTGTTATCTTCTCCAGTTCTTTCTCTTCTATTCTGCTATCTCCAGGCACTGCCGCATCCACTATCCAGACTTTTTTGTCTTTCTTATCGACAATTGTTAAGTCTGGGGTGTTATGTTGCAAGTGCTTGTCTGTTTGAATTCTGAAGTCACAGAGCAGTTTAATTTTATCATTTTCTATGACTTTCTCTATTTTATGATCCCACCAGTTTTTGCTTACAGGCAAATGATATTTTTTGCAAATCTTCCAATGCACCATTGTTGCTACTTTGTCATGTCGCTGCTTGTAGTCAGTCTGTGCAATCTTCTTGCAACAGCTTACCAGGGGGTCCACTGTTTCTTCAGCTTCTTTGCATAGGCGACACTTACTGTCTGTTGCTGTCTTCTCAATTTTGACTTTATATGCATTTGTCCTTAAGGCTTGGTCTTGTGCAGCCAGAATTAGTCCCTCGGTCTCTTTCTTCAATTTTCCTGCTCTTAGCCATTGCCAGGTTTTATTATTATCTGCTTTCCCAGCTATTTTTTTCATGTATTGGCCATGTAGTGCTTTGTCTTCCCATGTCTCTATTCTGTTCTTCATTTGGTCTTTCTTGTAGGCCAGTTTGGTCTCTCCAGTAGTTAGTAAGCCTTCCTGATATACTAATTTCAGTGCATCTTCATCATTGTTCTTCAGATATTCTTCCAAAGCCATTTTTTCTTCTTCAACCATCTGATGTACTTGTAGCATTCCACGCCCACCTATTTGCCTTGGTAGATAAAGTCTATCAATGTCACTGCGTGGATGAAGGGCATGATTCATTGTCATTATTTTTCTGGTCTGCCTATCCATTGCTTTTAGTTCTGCTTGAGTCCAGTCCACTATTCCAGCTGTGTACCTAATGACTGGGATTGCCCAGGTGTTGATTGCCTTTATGGTATTTCCTCCATTGAGTTTGGATTTTAAGATCTTCTTCACTCTCTTGATGTATTCACCTCTAATCTTTTTCTTGACTTCAGTGTGCTTGATGTTGTCAGCTTGAAGGATACCCAAGTATTTGTAGTAATCTTCCCCATCCAGACTCTTAATGTTATTTTCGTGGGGCATCTTGATTCCTTCAGTTTTCACTACTTTTCCTTGTTCGATAGTAAGTGTGGTACATTTGTCCAAGCCAAACTCCATAACAATATCTTGGCTATATATACGGACAGTGCTGAGCAGCGATTCTATTTCAGATGATCTTTTTCCATACAGCTTCAGATCATCCATGTAAAGGAGATGGGGTAGTCTGGTAGATGTTTTTGATGTTTGATAGCTATGTCCTGAGTTATTCAGTATTGTTGACAGAGGAAACAGTGCAATAACAAATAGTAATGGTAACAATGAATCTCCTTGAAATATTCCTCTCTTGATATTAACCTCTCCCAGTCTCTCACCATTGATGATGATGATGATGATGATGATTTGTCTAGTAGACAAATCAAAGTATTTTTCAAAAATGTGGTTATCAGACATATATCATAGTTTTCATTTTGCCTGTACAACCTATGAAAAAGAAGTAAATTGTTTCTGGAAAAAAAATAAAGAAATCAGTGTGCTATGAAAAAGAAATTGCTCACCTTCGATTTTATGTTAAACTCTGGTATTTTAAATCAGCAGACTGCTGAATCTATCCAAATTCATTAATCCCCTCTATGTGCATGTAATGGAATGTAGGAATGACTTTGGGAAATGAGAGGAAGAGCCACAGACTGAACACCTGTCATGCAAAAGGTAACACAGGCCAGAGAAACACAGAGGTGGTGGTGAAAACTGTTTCAAAAGAGACTCTTTCTAGTTTTTTGAGAGTAAAAGGAAAGGAGGGAAGGGATACTTTCAGACTTACGAAACTGTTAATGTAAATCTTACAATAAGGATAGTGCTAGTATTCATTGATGTGTCTCTTGTTTGCATTGCCTCAAAAACCTAACAGCTGATGAGACTTCTTATGGTATTCTTCATCTTCCAGCTCACCAAAACCTGTTCCCAATTCTATTCACTGCTTCTCTTTAAAGTTCACTTGCCTAATACAAGCAACCAGAAGGGAGTTCATTACCCAAACTAGGTAAAATAGCTCTGTGTGTGACAGCTAGACCCACTCCCTATGATAAGTTCTACAAAACCCTCTCGGCCACATGACACTCAAGTGTGCAAAGTGAGAATATATGAAGGCTTGGAAGAATTCATGTGCAAAAGTTTTCAATGACTAGTGAAAGCCTGTCCAGGATAAGAAGAGTTAATTTTTAAAAAATATATATTAGCTTCCAAACTGGAGATGGACTCACATGCCAACAGAGTAAGAAGAGTTAATTTTTTTAAAAAAAAATCGTATTACCCTCCAAACTGGAGATGAACTCGCATGCCAGTTTGCTCTCTGAGAAGAGTTCCTAAACTCATCTCCAGACCCAGCTGGGTAAGCTTCACCAGCCTGTCTCTCTGCTCCAGGAAAGGAATGGCATAAAGCTGTTATGATGTATGGCTGTAACTAATAAGAATCACACAGCACACCTCACATGGGACCAAGCATAAAATAAATAAAGAAATACTCTTTCAAGCAACATACAGTTAAGTTTCAGCAGTGACAATCACACTGTTCTGAAAAATCAAGCCAAATCCCCATCTGCTTTAATCTTATAAGCTTATTTTCATCTTACCCAGATCCCTTTTAAGGTATGTCTGATTTAACAGTCTGTGTGGCAGAGGTCTTAGGACAAGGATTAGAGTTGTCTCAGTTATTAGCTGGCATTTCTTTAGTACCAAGAGCATTATAGGGATAATTCCTACTGGTCAACCACAGCAATACCCCCCCCCACCAAATTCTTACAGCTTTTCTTCAATGCACCAACTTATTTCACTAGCAAAGCTGATAGAGAGAATAAACAGGCTACCTGCCATAGATACAAACACTTTCTGGCATGCTGCTCCTTTTCTAGAGAGCCAGGTTGCAATTGCAATGTAATTAGTGATACTGTAAGACCTTGCCAGGCACATTAGAAAACATCCACATGAACAAAGCTCTTTCCTAAGAAGGCCCATATTCTGCCTTAGAAGAATGGATGGGGGAAAGGGTTTGGGGAGGTCAGTCTATGGAAGGCAAGTAGAGGACATGCAATGAAAGAAGTGAAAGTTATTCAGTGTTTGGGGTCTCAAGCACTACAGTCCAACAGCATACAGGGACACCCCTGTGAGAACCAATCTCGTCTCTCCTCAAGGCCCATGTGCAACAGCAGAATTTCACCATCTGGTTCTTACTCGGAGCAACCAAGCAGTAGCAAGAGCAAATGGCTCAACAGGCAAAACAGATGCTCCGGATTCAAGAAAAAGGCAAGGCAAGAGGAAGAGATATTCCTTAGGGAAGATACTATTACACAAATCAAATATGTGACCAGCAGCCCTGGTAGAGTTGACTCCTATATGTAACAACAGAGTCATTATTAAAGTGAAGTCTCAGATCACTGACAAAGGAGATATTTATCTTATATTGGTTATTATAAGAAACATGAGGTTATATTTAACAAGACCTAGCCTCCCTACTCTATAAAGGCATTGGCTAGACCAGGGGTTCCCAACCGGGGTGCTCGCACCCTCTGTGGATGCGAAACAATATTCCAGTGGGTGCAAAAAATTGGATTTTCAAAATTAGTGTATATGCATAATTTGTTGTCATTATTTCGAACTTTTGTAAGGGGTGCGAGAATATATCAGAAGCGTTCTAGGAGTACGGGGTATAAAAATAGTTGGGAGCCGCTGGGCTAGACAGTATACCTGCCCAATGCAACTGTGTATGTTCCTTTTCAGATGAAGAACCATAGAGGTGCCAGAGTGAAGGGGGGGATCCGAAACCTGAACAAATTTACACTGCAGTTAAGTATGACTATCTCTGTAGCCTTAGAGGTAAACTAGTAAGAGGTCAGAAGAAGAAAATAATCCAGATTGACAATCAGCATATTTATTCCTGTTGGATTTCATTATGCTAGCTAATGTTAGAGACATGATCATTCCTTAAGTTCTCCTGCTGACTTTTAAATAAGGGTTCTATTTTAACATAAAAAGGAAGGAAGGAAGGAAGGAAGGAAGGAAGGAAGGAAGGAAGGAAGGAAGGAAGGAAGGAAGGAAGGAAGGAAGGAAGGAAGGAAGGCATTTTCTTGAAAGTTTCATGGTCTTTATCTTTTTATGAAGAACCCTTTTTGGCAACTCAAAGAAAAAATAGAAAGAGTGAGGTAGGCGAAATGAAAAGAAACTGAAGTTTTTAACAAGCTTTATGTTCCACACAAAATAATCAGTGGAATATCACAATCAACTATGTTCAATGGTAATATGCAAGATTGTATAAAAAGAGTAAGAAAGTAAGAAAACACCCAAAACTGAGCTTCTTTCTTCTCAGGGACTACATTTGCAATGTCACAAGATGTGTGCTCACCGATACGTTGTATGAGGGGCATAGACTTCTCGGACTGGGAATTCAAGGATCTCCTTGGTGGGTCGGACACGCAAATCAGGGTAGGGTTGGACATGCAACAGTTCAGGTGAGAGGCAATAATGGGGGTTTTCTGGCACTGGTGAAATATCAATCTTGAATTGAGCTGTGATGCAAAAACAAGAACGTAAGAATGATTTACTGTACATACAAAGCAACATGTCTAGACAGGCATCAAGCACAAGGATTGACCATGGACAGTTGGAAGATGGGATGACGTTGAGATCCATCTTTATCCTATGTGAAGCCATTCTGAAGCTGAAGGACCAGCACTAGCAGCAGAACTCTTTTTGTTTAGAAGATGCCCAAGCAAGTACATTGGGACTAAAGAGCAGAGATAGAATTGACCCTTCACACATACATCTTCATGCACAATGCTAAGGTATAACATACTATTATAAAACAAGCATATTATACCTTAGCATTGTGCATGGAGATCTACCATGTTTCTCTGAAAATAAGGCCCAACCAGAAAATAAGCCCTACTGTGATTTTTCAGGGTGCTTGTAATATAAGCCCTATCCCAAAAATAAGCCCCAGTTAAGATCATTAGCCAGATGGGAGGCATTTAGTACCATATTTCCCTGAAAATAAGACCTAACTGGAAAATAAGCCCTAATGTGTCTTTTGGAGCAAAAATTAATATAAGACCCGGTCTTATTTTCAGGGAAACACAGTATGTGTGAAGGGTCAAGGGAATTCTAAAAAACTATGGTTCAGCAGAGAGCCATCCACAGAATACTGGGATTTAGATTACAAAAATAATTGGCTGAGATGCGTGGATATAGAAAATGAATGAATGAATGATCAGTGACTATATGGCTGATAGCTTCAGCCCAAGTTTTGTAGATGCATAGCCAACTTGAAAAGAGAGTCAATCTGGTCTAGCGGTTAAGGTACCAGGTTAGAAAGTGAGAGACCATGAGTTTTAATCCTGCCTTAGCCATGAAAGCTGGCAGTGTGACCTTGGGTCAATCACTCTTTCTCAACCCACTCCACCCCACAGCGTTGCTGTTCTGGGGAAAATAGGAGAAGGAAGGTATGTTAGATATGTTCACCACCTTGAGTTATTTGTAAAAATGTTGAAGGTGGGATTCAAGTAAATAAATAAAAGACTTTGAGGTCACCAGGCTGAGCTCTCTAGAAAATGCAGCTATCTCAGAACTTTAAAGAAAGGATACTTCATGACATCAATGTAATTTCCAAAGTGCCACTTGAAAACTGGCAGCTCAGTCTCACTTTATAACACATTATGGGAAAAAATTGAAACACATTGGGCTCAGAAAAGATCACGCTAGAGCATGTAAAAGGGGCAAAGAATGGCATTACAATACCCTATTTTACCTGTAACTGGACGGAGTCTTCTCAGGACAGAAGATGGGCGTCTCATATCTGCTAGGAACTTGTACAAGTCCTCATCACTGAGACGATCGCCTTCCTGAAAATGAAGATAGACAGAAGAAGGCAAAGAAGGTGGCATTTACTAGTATAGTCTCTTATGAGTGTTCTCTATTACCTCTCATCCACAAACGTTTATGCAGAGCTTCAGTACTCAAAAATCAAATCAGGATGCAGCATGCCAAGACTCTCAGCCTTGAAATCTGCTTTGTACTGAAAACCAGATTAAGCAATTCTCTCCAATTTAGATTTGATTCTTTCTTTAAAAAATTATTCACAACATTGAAATAGAAGGTTATATAGTTCTGATAGCTTAATATATGTTTAAATATTTTTAAAAAATATACATTAGGATTTTATTAATAAGGAGGTTACAGGTAATCCCCGAGTTATGGGTGTTCACTTAACGCTCATTCAAAGTTATGTGATCAGCACCCCCTAGTGTTTATGAGCAAGTCCCAAAATTATGACTATAGCAGCACCACAGCAGTCATTTGCCCTTACGAGTGACTTCAGTGGCACTGCAACATTCATCCTATTGCCCCCCCACTCCTCACAACTGCTTCCCCCTCCCTTCTTGCCACACCAGACTCACTTACCTTGCAAAAATCCTCTCTGTCACGGTTTCTTTCACTTTGAGGGAGAGGAGAGTCAGCTTGGAAATGCTCTTCGTGCCGAGAATGGAAGTTTCTGGAGTCCGTGATCTCGTGCGAGTGTTAGAAGTTGCGCCAAATCACGGACCTCAGAAACTTTCATTCTCTATGCGAAAGATCCCTGTCTCCTGCTCCCAACTCCTTTCTGCCTGAAGGCAGGCTTGAAGCCTTCAAGTGAGGGAGAAGGCCAGACCCCTAGCATCCGCGTCCAACCAGCCAGAGCTCGCTGCGCTGGGGGAGAAAGTGATCCCATTGTCCCCAGAGCCTCAGAGGCCTCCTTCAAGCAACCCAGAACGGAGGCTAGAGAAGGTTTCTATATGCCTCCAGAGGTTGGATCCAAGCCTTGGAGGGGCCCTCCAAGCCATTTGCACCCGGAATGGAGATTGGGGGGGGGGGGGCTTCTGCATGCCTCTTGAGGTTGGATCCAGCCCTTGGAGGGGTCCTCCAAGCTGTTTGTATCCGGAACAGAGATTGGGGGGGGGGCTTCTGCATGTCTCTGGAGGTTGGATCCAGCCCTTGGAGGAGTCCCCCAAGCTGTTTGTGCCTGGAACAGAGATAAGGGAGGTCTTCTGCATGTCTTCGGAGGTTGGATCCAGCCTTCAGAGGACTACTCCTAGCTGCTGCCGTCCGGAACAGAGCTTCTGGAGGTTGGATCCAGGTCTCGGAGGGGTCCTCCAAGCCGTTTGCACCTGCAACAGAGATGGGGGGGAGCTTCTGCACGCCTCCGGAGATTGGATCCAGGCCTCGGAAGCTTCGTTCCGAGCAGCAGCAGCTTGGTACAGTCCTCCAAGGCCTGGATCCAACCTCCAGAGGCATGCAGAAGACCCTTCCCCCAATCTCTGTTCCGGGGCGGCGGTCATGTGGCTCCAGAGTTGGGGAGAAGCAGGAGGCAGGCACCGCAAACAGTGCAAAAATTTAGGCACCCATTCTTTGTGAAAGGATCAGTGCCTGAACTCATGCAATATTACGGCATTCAGGGGCTTCCATTGACTTTCCTGTCCCTCAAAAGCAGGAACTGCAGCAGAGAGGAGACAGATCTTTTCAAGGTGCGGCAAGAAGGGAGGGAGAAATATGAGGTATCTTAGTGGGTCGGGGAGGCCTTGGTGGCCTGTTCCATCACTAGGCCATGTGCACTTAACAAGCCACATGTATTTTAATGAGCAAAGGAGTGGTCTCATTCGAGGTACGAGAGTCACTCTACGAGTTTTCAAGTTATGAGTGGAACATGCAGGCTCCATTATACTCGTAACTCGAGGATTACCTGTAATTTGTTTAGTTGTTTTTTAAGGGTTTTTCAATTCTACAAAGGTCTTTTTGGTTTTAACTTTCTCCCTAGGTCATTTGGTATGATTTTCTTTCTATTTTTCCCTGTGTTTATACAGTTTTATTATAGATATACAGGTAGTCCTCGACATACAACAGTTCATTTAGTGACTGCCCAAAGTAACGGCACTGAAAAAAGTGATTTATGAACATTTTTCATATTTACAACCTCTGTAGCATTCCCATAATCATGTGATCAAAATTCTGATGCTTGGCAATTGGTTCTTTATGACCATTGCTTTGTCTCAAGGTCATGTGAACACTTTTTGCAACCTTCTGACAAGCAAAGTCAATGGGGAAGCCAGATTCACTTAACAAACAGGTTACTAACTTATCAATTGCAACCATTCACTTAACAACTGAGGAAAATAAAGGTTGTAAAATGGGGCAAAACTCACTTAATGTTTCACTTAACAACAGAAATTTTGGGCTCAATTGTGGTCGTAAGTCAAGGACTACTGTAGTACATTAGGGCAGGGGTCCCCAACCTGTGGGCTGCAGTCCTGTAGTGGGCTGTGGCCTCCTGGCCACCAGACAGACTCACTTGTGCTAGAGCCGTGGCTACGGGGCGCAAAAATGGGCTGCTGCTGTGCCTCAGCTATGAAAACAGTACGCCGGCGCCAAACTTCGGCCATGAAAATAGGACATTGCCATGGTGCCTCAGGGCATGGAAACAGGACATCGACGCACCTCATATGAAAATCGGACACCGCCACGCCTCAACTGTGAAAATGGGATGCCGATGCACCTCAGCCGCAAAAACAGGCTGCCATTGCACCTCAGGGCGCGAAAATGGGCTGCCACCGCCATGCTGCAAGCCGCAAAAATGGACAACGCACCATGGGGTGCAGAAATGGAACACCGCTGCACCGCGGGACACAAAAACAGGGTGTCACCGCACTGCAAGGCACAAAAATGGTCACTGCCGTGCCGCGGGACACAGAAACAAGGGCGGGGCTAATGAGTATCACACAGGCACTAGCCATGCCCCGTTTGCAGCGCACAAATGCTTGCGGCCCCGTGCGCATGCACACACGTATGCTTGTAAAATGCTTCCTCCTCTCTTTTCCTCCGGTCTACCAACCGACAAAGGTTGGGGACCCCTGCATTAGGATATTTTCTAAAGTATGTTGATATCTATACAATAGTAATATAATTCATATAGTTATACTGCTAGTTAATTAAAATGTATAAAGACATGTTAACTGTAATCTTTTTAATGCTGATTAAAACAATGGTTTTTTAAACAGACTCTTTAAAAATGCAGCATGCCAAGAAATATGAAGGCAAGGGCATCTTTCTCCCAGCTGCCTTCCTTTAAGACCTTGGGGCTTACCCAATTCCATTAAGCAAGAATGTTGGGTCCATCACACTGACATATTTTCATTTTGGCAGCTACAGAAAAGTGATTTACCCACTCTTTCATGGCAGACTAATTACTATATTTTGCCAGAAGAGATTCTGGAAGTTTATGCTTTACTCACTTCACAGATGTATCAACCCCTCTGATTCTATATCCGCATTCTCACAGGTTCAGAAACGTTAAACCTACATGATGCTCTGGGTGAGGCTAGTCCAAAAAACATTTTAGCTTCTAACCTGTTTGAAAAAATTGGTGATTGTGAGGGTGGCTGGACGGAAGTTGCTAAAGCTGCACATCTCCTCACCAACACTCAGGCGTCCATAGGCTTTCCTCTTACGCTCATTCCAGGTGCCTTTGCGTTCTGCAAAAGGAGAGAGTGTTCAATAGGAAAGGCATGCATATGTCCTCAGAGGTCATAAGCAAGAAATAACCTAACAGTTAGATGAATTACTGTTATGATCTTCGAATTCCTTATCTTGGGTTTGGCTAGGACTTGGGTTTGGCTAGTCTAAAGAAAAGAAGAAATAGGGGTAACGTGATAGCAATAGTCCAGTATTTGAGAGGGGGTCAAATTATTCTCCAAAGTACCAGAGAGCAGGATAAGAAACAATGGTTGGAAACTGATCAGAGAGAGAAGCAACCTGGAATTAAAGAGAAACTTCCTGACAGTGAGGACAATTAACCAGTGGAACAGCTTGCCTCCCAAAATTATGGGTGCTCCATCACTGGAGGTTTTTAAGAAGACACTGGGCCGTCACTTGTCTGAAATGATATAGGTTCTCCTGCTTGAGCGGGGGGCTGGACTAGAAGACCTCCAAGGTCCCTTCCAGCTCTATTCTATTCTAAAGTTTATCTCCAGCACAGAAAAAAAGAGTAAATGTTATTTCAATGGCAAACAAAATGGATACAGACTACAGTTTGCATATAATCTATCTGAGAATGTAGAGCACTAATTATCCATTTTTGAAAATTATTCTCTTGCTTTTTAAAAACAAGCAAATCAAAAGGGCCCCCAAGAAACAGAACAGTAGCCATTAACACATCTGCCTGGAAGGGAATCTTAGTATCCTAAAAATGAGCCCTAAATTATCACAGTCTATTATAGAGGCTATTCTTTATGATATTCTGATGCCTCTTGGCAAGTGGGTATCTCCAAAGCTCCTATAGGGAGTCAGTGGAATATAAAAGCTATATGAACACTATAGCAGGGATAAGGCACAATGTAGTTTGCCAATGGCATGTAAGGTTTGCCAAAGAGGGGAATTTGAAATATGATCACGAAGATGGACTTAAATTTCTTATCTCTAATTGTGAATCTACTGAAAGAGTATTCCTGTCTTTAAATAAAAGTTGCAAATTTCTTTTGAACTGGTTTCCACCCTCATGATCATAAACAAAATGCACCACTCTGTATTTCAGTATTGGGATTCCTATGTTGAATGCCTGCATGTCAGTTTTATGTTGACTGCAATTGTCTTCTGCTAGTAAACTATCAGAAAGTATGATTCAGCTAGGGGACAGGAGTGGCATTTTCTTCCTGATGCCCGTCACAAGGCATCTCAGTTTTCATTCTGGAAGAATAATGTACTTTCTAATGTGTCGAGCTCATGTACCTTAGCTGGCAAGACCAAAGAAACAAAAACAGCATGGATTTTACTAAATTATCTTTAATGCTAGTGTGGGATAAATAGAATCTCTTGGAAACTGTAAGAAAAATTTCACAGCCCCGTTTAGAATCACACTGTTACATCCAAGCAAATGTAATCTGGAAGAGGTGTCCCTCAAATAGCCTAGTCCCATGCCATGTAGGGCTTTATAGGCTATTACTAGTACTTTGAAATGCACCTGGGAGCACACTGGTAATCAATGCAGCTCATGGAGCAGGGATGGGGCGTTGTCTTACCTGAACACCTTTTCTCAGCAAGGAGATGGATAATCCACCAATGGGTTTAGACCACAGGTCAGCAACCTGCGGCTCCGGAGCCGCATGTGGCTCTTTGAGCCTTCCCCTGTGGCTCCCAGCCTCCTCTGCCATTTGCAGAGAGAGACAGAGAGAGGCAATTGTACTTCCCTGCTTCTCTCTCTGTCTCTGTGTGTGTGTTTGTGTTTGTGTATGTGTATGTGTGTGTGTGTGTATATGTAAAAAAGAGAGTGCACTCACAGTGTTCTCCAAGGAACTGAAAAGCTTATTGGGCGGAGCTCCTCCCTTTGCTGCATCTCTGCAGGAAGCAGGAAGCAGGAAGGGCAGGAGAGAGCTAGCCCAGCTATGCTGACTCAGGAATTCTGGGAGTTGAAGTCCATGAGTCATAAAAGAGCCGAGGTTGCCTACCCCCCCCCCCAGCTTGTTGGAGAACAGCTTGAAGCCAGCTTGCCAGGTGAGCAGCAGATAGGAGGGAGGGGAGAGGGGGGGGAAGAGGACTGGCAGACTAAGGACAGAGAGAGAGGGAGAGAGAGACAGAGAGAGAGAGAGAGAGAAAGAAAGAAAGAGAGTGGGGAAAAAGGACTGGCAGCCAAGGGCAGATAGAGAGAGAGGGAGAGAGACAGAGAGAGAGAGAACCTTTTGACATCTAAAATGAAGACAACACTGCATATATCCTTTTTTACCTGTGTCTGTCTGTCTGTCTGTCTGTCTGTCTGTCTGTCTGTATATGTATGTATGTGTGTGTATGTATGTATGTGTGTGTGTGTGTGTGTGTGTATGTATGTATGTATGTATGTATGTATGTATGTATGTATGTATGTATGTATATTATAAGCTCCCGGTGTTTTGTTTTCGGTGGGAAATGGGTCCAAGTGGCTCTTTGAGTGTTTTGGGTTACCTACCCCTGGTTTAAACTGTGTTCCTGCCCAATGAGATCAAGTCAGCCAAGTTGCAACGCCTGTCCTGGGCTAGAGTGTCCCAGTCTCGACGTAGGCGAAGCCATGACTGACAGCAAGACGAGTTGGCTCATAAATCTAGCCCTAGGCCTAAGTAACTTGCAAGGGCAGGAGTGGATTATCCATCTCCGTGCTAAGAAAAGGTGTTCAGGTAAGACAACGCCCCTTCTCCAGCACTGGAGATGGATAATCCATCAATGGGACATACCAAAGCCTACTGTCCCTGAGGGAGGGGATCAGGCCGATCCGGTGTGGCACTTTGAGGTATGACCTGTTGGAGAATCCTACCAAAGGAGGCCTCCGCCGAGGTGAACCTGTCAATTTTGTAATGCCTTATAAAAGGAGATGGTGAAGACCATGTGACCACTCTGCAAACGTCCTCAATGGACATCTGAGTGACCCAGGCCGTGCAAGTAGCTGCGCTATGGGTTGAGTGGGCCGTTACCCATTGTGGAACCAGCAATGATTCAGCCTGGTACGTCCACGCAATACACCCCCTAATCCACCTGCCAATCATGGAGGAGGACACCTTCCGACCCTTGGAAGAAGGATGGAAGGAGACAAAGAGGGCCTCAGAGTTGCGGGAGGCAGCTGTCCGTGAGATGTAGTAACAGAGCGTTCTGCGGACATCCAGAAGGTGTAATTGCCGTTCCAAGGCATGAGATGGGTGAGGACAGAAATCTGGGAGTACAATTTCTTGAGCCCTGTGGAAAAGAGAATTGACCTTAGGAAGAAAGGCAGGGTCCAGATGAAGGACACTCGGTCCTGGTGAAAAAAGCACAAGTCATCTCTGACTGAAAGTGCCGCTAATTCTGAGATTCATCTCGCAGACGTGATTGCCACCAGGAATGCGACCTTGTGCGATACGTATCGTATATCACATGTCTTGAGGAACTCAAAGGGCGGTCTGGTTAGAGCCTGAAGAACTTGCGGCAGGTCCCATGAGGGATACCTGTGCACTACAGGGGGCTTGGTGAACAAGCAGATCAAGGGATGATGACCTAGGAAACCGCTGAGTCACAGGTAAGTACAGTGGAGAGAGTGGCGACTTGTCTGCGCAATATGTTTGGAGCCAAGCCCCTCTCCAGACCCTGTAGAAGGTAATCCAATATATGTGGAATTGTCAAGTCTAGAATAGTCAAGTGGTGGTTCGAGCACAACAAACAGAAGTTCCTCCACGCAGCCTCATAAATACGGTTGGTAGAGGACCAACGGGAGGCCTGGATTACGGTAATGACCCCTGGCGAGCAGGACTCCTGGGACAGGATCGAGCGCTCAAGTGCCAGATGGCTAATTGGAGCCATTGGGGGTCTGGATGAAGAAAGGTCCCCTGGCTGAGTGAGACCCGATCTGGGGGAATCCTCCATGGGGCCACTAGAGAGAGGTTCATTAGGTCGGCGAATCATGGTCTCCATGGCCAACAGGGGGCCACTAGAAAAACCTCCACCTGCTCCCGAAGAAGCTTGCAGACAACCGCCGGAAGAAGAGGAAGAGGAGGGAAGGCATAAAGCAGTCCCTCTGGCCACGGGCTCTGAAGAGCATCCGCTCGTTCCGCCCTTGGAGACAGAAAGCGGGAAAAGAATTGCTGGAGATGGGCATTTGTCAGGGAGGCAAAAAGGTCTAGAACTGGCAATCTGAAGCGGTGGCAGATCTCCCTGAAGATCCTTAGGTGCAGGCGCCATTCTGAATGGTCCACCATCACCCGGCTCAGGAAGTCGGCCTGAGTGTTTGCCTCCCCTGAAATGCGGTCAGCACTGATGGAGGCCAGGTTGGCTTCTGCCCAGGAGCCCAGCAGGACTGCCTCAGTCAAGAGTGCACAAGATCGGGTGCCCCCTTGCTGGTTCACATGTGCCTTGGCAGCCATGTTGTCCATGAGGACCAACACGTGACGCTTCGCTACTGCGCCATGAAAGTAGTGCAGGGCCAGGTGTATGGCCCTGAGCTCTAGCCAGTTGATATTATGCCGAAGGTCGGAGCGGTACCAATGGCCCTGGGCCCACTGTGAGCGAAGGTGCGCTCCCCAGCCAAATAGGCTGGCGTGAGTCGTAAGGGTGAGTCAATCGGGCTCCTTGAAGTAAGACCCCTTGAGCATGGCCGACGAGAGCCACCATGTAAGGAATCACGAGACGTGAAGTGGAAGTCTCACCCTTTGATTGGAGGAACTGATGTTCAGTCTCTGGAAGGAGAGCAGGAACCACTGAAGGTTCCTGGAGTGGAGCCTGGCCCAATCGCAATGGCCAAGATCATCTTCCCCAGTAATTGGGAGAGGCTAGCCAACGTCACCGTTCGACCCCTGCGCAATTGGAGAATCGACTCACTGATGCTATCTCGGCGTTCTTGGGATAAATAGACCCGGCATTCCACCGTGTCTATGATGGCCCCTCGGTGTAATAACCGTGTTGTGGGGACCAAATGGCTCTTGGAGAAGTTCACCAAGAACCCGTGATTCTGGAGCAGCATTATTACCAGTTCAAGATCTGCCTGAGCAGCCTGGATCGATGATGACTGGATTAGAATGTTGTCCAGGTAGCACTGGACTCTGACTAGCACCATTCTCAGGTGAGCTGCTAGAACTGCCAGGATCTTGGTAAAGACTCTCGGAGCCGAGGATAGGCCAAACGGGAGTGCTCTGTAATGATAATGATGTCCCCTGTGAATCTTAGAAACCAGCGGTGGGTGAGAGAGATAGGGATGTGGAGGTACACTTCCAGGAGGTCGATAGACGTCAGGAAGTCCCCCCTTCTTACTCTTCCCAAGATGGACTGGAGCACTTGTATCTTGAATTTGCGGTATGCAAGATGATAGTTTAATCCTTTTAGATCCAGGATGGGTCTCCATCCCCCTGACACCTTGGGGACGATGAAGAGGATGGAGTAAAATGCCCGACCTTTCTGATCCAATGGCACCAGGAGGTTGGAGATGAACTCCAGGGACAGTCCATGACGCACGGTGTTTAGGACCCATGCATCCATGGTGGTGGCTTCCCACTGGCGGGCAAAAAGAGAAAGTCTGCCCCCGATGGGAGGATCCGTCTGAGAGTCACCTGGATTGGCGGAATGGGCGGCCGCTCCCGTGAAAGGGCCGTTTGCCCTGAAATTGTTGTCTGGGTCTGGAAACCTGTCTGTCAGACTGTCTGTCCTGTCTGTCTTGTCTGATAGGGAAAGAACGGTTGGGCTGGAAGTAGTTGGACCTGGGTCCAGTGCAAAAGGGCTGCCTCCGTGAGTAGGTGTTGGGACGTTTGTCCGACCGTTTAAGGAGGTAATTGAGGACCTTACGTTTATCCTTATTCTCAGTGAGGTAAGGATTCAGAGCTTCACCAAACAATTTCCCTCCCTGATAAGGGGCTGCTAACAAGCGCCATTTGGACTTGGCGTCAGCGTGCCAGTATTTCAACCAGAGCATACGGTGGCCAGTGACGTTGGATGCCATGGCTCTGGAGGAAAACCTGGCAGCCTGGAGGGTGGCATCGGAAGCATATTCTGTAGCTGCCACCATCTGACTTAGATCTTGATGCGTGCGGATATCCTCTGCTAGTATCCTGGCCTGAAGCTGTCTAAGCCAGGGGAAAGCAGACCTGTTAAAAAAGGATGCAGAGGTAGTTGCTCTGATAGCCCACGCCGTGGCTTGATGTGTTCTATGGAAAGAGAGCTCACATTTACGGTCCTTAGCCTTGAGGGCCTCAGAAACGTTGCCAGGAATGACGGTTGGAGACACAAGGGGTCCTAAATGTTCATCTACTGCGGGTACCTCCAGAGCCACCTCCAGGTCCTGGGCCACGTTATAATGTCTTTTCTCATTGCTGCTTGGAAGGGGAAAAGAGGCCGGGGATACCCATTGCTTTTGGACCGCGTTGAGGAACATGGGAGGGCAAGGAATGCAGTATTGTGTCGTTACCGGTTTGGTGAAATTCTGATCCGCCTCCAAGTCTGGAGGGAGTGAAGTTGCCGGCGTGGAAGGATCAGGTCCGAGATGTGCCGTGGAAGTGCCTTATGAAGCAGGGGCACAAAAAAGGCAGGGTTAAAGAGACCGCTAAGTGATGGTGTCTCAGGGGAGGGTTCCTCCTCCTCAGACATCGGAATCTCCAGATCAGCCTCGTATTCACAAGATGACGAGTCCCCAGAGTAAATGGACTGCGAAGGGGAAGAAGGCGCGTGATAGGATTCAGTAGCCGGCTGGTGGGTGGGTAGAAAGGTGACCGCGGGTGACCTAACCGCTTGCGATCTGGCCTCAAGAGCGTGCTCTACCGCCTGTGCAATCATCTCAGCTAGGTGGTCCTCCATGGGGAGGGGGACCGGTTCACTTGGCCTAAGCCCGACTGCAGTGGGGGTGAAAGTAGCTTCAGGGGCCACGTGTTGAGCCCGTGGAGTGGAGGGCTAAGTGATGGGATGAACCCTGTCTGTGTCCCCCACTGCAGGAGACAGGAAAGGTTCCCCTGTTGACTATATCCCCAGTGGAGAAGCGGAGGGCCCCAGGGGCAGATCAAACGAAGGCACTTCAGCTTCTGAGGTCTCCAACCTGGCTAGCTTCTGTGCTTTAGAGAATTCCTTCTCTAGGGCTTGGTGTCTCCTGGTGGCCTGCTTTTCAGCTCCCTTGGAAGTTTTTGAGGTAGACCTGGCCTTGGCTTTGGCCAAGATCTTACCTGTGGTCTCTTGATTAGAGGATTTGTGGCATTTTGCAGTCGAGGAGGACGGCAAGACGTCCTTTGTGGGGGGCCTAGTATCCTCCATCCTCAGGTAACACAGGAGCACGATAGGAGACCCCTGGTATCCGGAGACTGCTATTGGTCGGGTAAGAACAGGCGCATTATAGGGGACGCCTGGAATCCAGATAGAGCTGATTGTGTGGATAAGAACAGGCGCATGGTAGGGGACGCCTGGTATCCAGACAGAGCTGTTCGTGTGGATAAGAACAGGTGCACGATAGGGGACGCCTGGAACCCAGATAGAGCTGTTAATGTAATTAGGCCCAGGATCCCAATGGACTAATCCTGGTTTTCAGAGAGACCTGGAGACACCAAGAACCCAGAAATTGAATCCAAGGAGATTAAATGCACGTGAAAGAAAAGGAACAAACCAGATAGAGCCAAACATTCTAAGCAGGCTGTGAAATGGATATATTACAGGCTTGAATGGCTGTGGAGATCAAATACTGACTGAGGTCTGACAGGCCTTGGAATGGTATTATGTAAGGTTGTATTTAGAGCAGATGAAAGAAGTAGGCCTGAGGAATCTAGCAGGCCTGTTCTGAGGCAACAGTGGCCGTGAAGGGTCCCTGTGCAAACTGAGGCTCCAGAGGCCTCAAATGGTGGCCGCAGGGGAGAAAAGGGCACAGAGCAGGCCCCAAAATGGTGGCCTCAAGAAAGACCCAGTCCCAATAAGGGACACAAAAAGGCGGCCACACCCAAAAAGGCTGCCACACTCAAAATGACCACCACATTCAAAATGGCGGCCGCATGAGGTCTGGGGGTATTGTTGCCGGCACCCCCTTCCACCCTAAACCAAGCAGCCCTCCGAGACGAAAAAAAATGGAGCTTTGGAATGCTCTCTGGCTCCAAACAGCCGTCTGGGGCCTGCGCTCTCACTCTGCCCCCCCCCCAGGAGCTGCAGCTGCAAGCTCTGATCATGAAGAAAGGCTGGAAAAGAGGTAATCGGCCTTCTGAACACGCACCAGCTGCAAACGGCCGTTTTTAGCCTTCGCATGTGTCCAGAGGCTTTTCCAGGCAATGGGGAACTGTGGAGGGCTGAGGAGCAGCACTGAGCCCAGTGCTGTCCAAGAGAAGGAGGGCTGTGTTACAGAGGGGAAGCAAGTCCCCTCAGCCTCAAGCCTTTATGGTTGGAAGTGGGGGGGAGGGGGAGGAACAAAGGCCTCCGTTCCTATTTAAAGGCAAACAGTTCTTCAGCCAAATGAGAGTAAAATACACAGTGCTAAATACAGCACTGTCACAGAAGACTGAAGAGAATAGAGAATAAAGAATCCACTAAAGGAAACTGTACCTGCCTAAGAGCCAACTTGCTATGTCTTTCTTGGGCAAGATCAAGTTGAGACTGGGACACTCTAGCCCAGGACAGGCATTGCAACTTTGGCTGACTTGATCTGATTGGGCAGGAACACAGTCTAAACCCATTGATGGATTATCCATCTCCAGTGCTGGAGAAGCAATGTGCACTGCCTGAGGAGCGCAAACAATTGCCAGTACTACTGCATTTTGCACCAGTTGCAGCTTCTGAATGCTTTTCAAGGGCAGCTTTCCCAGTCTTCCCACATTATGCATTCTATCTTTCACTCAATCCACCTATGGCAAGTGCCCATTCTCACAGAGCAAGTTTGTTTGATCCAGAAATAGTTAGTTCCTATCCTATCTTGGGGTCAAAACAAACTCAAGGAGACGTTATTACGCAAATACAGGAATACACTAAGCTGAGTCTTAAATGACTAACCATTTTCAGAGTCTGAAGCATCCCTCTCAAGCATCCCAGTAGTGCTAATTATATTCATGAGGTGAATGGCAGTCCAGGCAAATGGCATACGGTAGCGCCCCAACCGGGTGCAAAATTGCTCTCCTGCCACTCGCAGTTTCTCCAACTTCTCCTTGTTCTGAAAGCATAAGGGGAAAACACCATCACTGTGGTTCAATTTTAATTGTTTTATCCTTATCACAGTTTTAACCAAATTTGTCCTCAGTAGATGAATTGGGCTTCAATAGGCAATATGGCTGGAAATTATGTGAGCTGAAGCACCCTGTTAGGAATAGCTGCCTAAATAATCATTCTGAATGACAAACTATTGTTATTCCAGTGAAAATGTCTGGAGTTAGGCAAATGATTCAAATGAAATTAAACTAAATTAACAGGTCTGTCTTACATCTAACAACCATCCCTATTTCAAAACATCCCGAATCCCCCAAAAATAAAACCTGGCAGGGAAAGCTACTAATTATAAACAGGAAGCAAATCTCACACTAATAATGTTACCAAGTCTGTAATGAAATGCCTGCAACAAACCACCAAGCTCAGAGAGCATCAAGAATTCCACAGTTCAACCCTGAGCTACATATGTTCTCTTCTATTGGAATTTCACACATAGCTAGCAATTTTTTTGTGCTGGATTTCATCTACCTTCAAAGCATCTGTTTCCTTCATGACCATGTAAGGTTCACAGCATTCACTGATATCCCCTTGCTGTAGCACTTTCTCCAACTATAATGGAAGAGAAAACATGTCACAGGATGTGACACAAACCTAACAGATATCCTGAAGTTCCTAAGAATAAAATCAAGATATTTTGAACACTATCTCAAATGTTATTCACTATAAGACAAGAAAGCCAATTTTTAATAACTTTGAAAACCAGAACTGACATGACTAGTCCTATAGTCAGAAACGGCTTTTTTCAATACTAAGGGAATAAATCTGGAATGACAAGTGTGATTTTGTTTATTAACAAAGTTCAGGTTTTACTAGCAATTCAAAAGAATAAAAAAATAATATAGGCATTAACTCTGTTGTAAAATTCTGACTTTGTGCTGGAATCTAAAGTGGGTTCATGTGTTCAGAAGACAGGATATTACATGCAATAGCTCTGTAGGCTATACCTTTTCCAACCTAATCTCTTAATGTGATCAAGCTTGAGGTAGATATGCAAAGACATAGTTTAAGAAAAGAATGTGATAAAAGTGAGGGTTGTGACTTGACACTCAATTATGGGGTCCTTTACTGATTCACTGATTATTATTAATGATGCGGTCATCATCATTTCTGACCAGAAAGACTCCCTCTAGTCTAGTCATCACCAATGTTCCAGCTATTGTTTGATGTTAGATAAATCAAAGCTAGGCAAAGAACCTATGAACTGTATGACTATTATAACGAGGGAATTAGTCCTTCAATAGTGCATTAACAGGATCATAGATATGACACAATTTCATGGAATAAATAATATTCCGACCAATATCACTAACTGAAACCTAGTACACTTAATCCTCAACTTACAACTTAGCAATTATTTGAAATTAAACAGCACTGAAAAGGGGCGTTGACTTACCTGAACGCCTTTTCTCAGCAGGATGATGTAGAGTCCAATGGATGGGTTCTATGACAGCCTTCCTGCCCGGCAGACTGGGTAAAAAACTTTGGCCACACCCCTTCCTCTGGGCGTGACCCCAGTTTTGACTTAGGCGAGAAACTTTGTTGGAATCAATATTGCAGCTCTTTATTACCTACCTACCTAGACCTAACCCCTGGGTGGGCTTGGACTCTACATCATCCTGCTGAGAAAAGGCGTTCAGGTAAGTCAACGCCCCTTCTCCAGCAGGATGGCTGTAGAGTCCAATGGATGGGACATACCAAAGCCCTCATGTCCCCCTGGGAGGGAAGTCTAGGCTACCGAATTCTGAGCAGATACGACTTGCTGTAGCACTCTTCTACCAAAGGCAGCATCTGATGCGGCCAGGGAGTCTAAACGGTAATGCCGGATGAAGACAGACGGTGAAGACCACGTCGCTGCCTTACAAATTTCTACCGGCGCTTGTGTTAGCCACGCCGCCGAAGTGGCTGCGCTCCGTGTTGAGTGGGCAGTCACATGTGCGGGTGCTGGTAGTTCCTGCGAGACGTAGGCCTGGGCTATGCAGGCTCTGATCCACCTACCTATGGTGGAAGAAGACACCTTCTTTCCCATAGATGATGGTTGAAAGGAAACAAATAATGCTTCTGTCTTGCGGAATGTCAACGTGCGTTTCACGTAGAAACACAGCGCTCTACGCACGTCCAGCTTGTGCCATCTATGCTCTAGCCTCTGTTTGGGTTTTGGGCAGAAATCGGGAAGAATCAATTCCTGAGATCTGTGAAAGATGCTGTTTACCTTCGGAATGAAGGCCGGGTCTGGCCTAAGGACGACCCTGTCCTTGAAGAAGGTACACAGATCCTTCCTTACTGATAGTGCCGCTAGTTCTGAAATTCTTCTTGCTGAAGTGATTGCCACGAGGAAGGCCACCTTCAGCGATAGGTGGTGAAGAGAACATGAATCAAGGGGCTCAAATGGTGCTGATGTCAAGGCTAGAAGGACTTTAGGCAGGTCCCAAGACGGGTACCTGTGAATGACGGGGGGCTTTGTGTTGGACGCCCCCTTTAAAAAGGCACTAATCGCTGGATGTTGCGCTAGGGATGTCAAGCTGTCGCAAGAGAGAACAGTTGAGAGGGCCGATATCTGTCTGCGAATAGTGTTGACTGACAGGCCCTTGTTAAGACCCTCCAGGAGGTAATCTAGAATATTGGGGATGGATACTGTAGCTGGATCTAGGTGCACAGAAGCGCACCACCTACAAAAGCCTTTCCATGTAGCATCGTAAATCCTGTTCGTGGACGCTCGTCGTGAAGCTTGTATGATCGATATCACCCCTGCCGAGTAAGCTTGCTTGGCTAAACTTTGCCGCTCAAATGCCAAGCGGCTAGTTGTAGCCACTGGGGGTCTGGGTGCACAAACTTGCCCTGGCTGAGAGTTACTCTGTCCGGGGGAATCCTCCACGGGGGTGATATCGAAAGGTCCACAAGGTCGGCAAACCACGGGCGCCGTGGCCAATGCGGGGCAATGCAGACTATCTCTGCGCCTTCCCGGATCAGCTTGCGTATGGTCGCCGGTATTAAGGGCAACGGTGGGAAGGCGTACAGGAGATGCGCCGGCCACCGACACCTGAGAGCATCCGTTCCCTCCGACCCCGGAGACGGGAATCTGGAGAAGAACCTGGGGAGTTGTGTGTTCTTGTGGTTGGCAAATAGGTCCAGGTGCGGTTGCCCGAATCTCCGGGAGATCTCCTCGAACAGAGCCGGATCCAGGCGCCATTCCGCCTGATCCACCTTGGCTCTGCTCAGGCAGTCTGCCTGGGTGTTTGCCTCCCCCGAGATGTGTTCTGCCTTGATAGAACTCACGTTGGTTTCTGCCCACCGAGCCAGAGCTAACGCCTCCTTCATTAGTTCCGCTGATTGCGTTCCCCCTTCCTTGTTTACATGGGCCTTGGCTGCTACATTGTCCGTTAACACGAGGACGTGCCTCCCTGTTACTAGATGTGAGAAATGGCGTAGGGCCAGGTGGATGGCCCGGAGCTCTAGCCAATTGATGCTGTGTGAGAGGTCCTTCTGGTCCCACTGGCCCTGTGCTATCTGGGTTCCCAAGTGGGCTCCCCATCCGAACCGGCTCGCATCTGTCGTGAGCGTGACCCTGTTCGGCTCTTTGAATATGCTCCCCTTGAGTATCTTGGGAGATATCCACCATTTCAGAGATCTCATCACCTGTGCTGATACCAAGACCTTCCTGTTGGAGGTGCTGAGATTCCTCCTCTGGTAGGGTAGGAGGAACCACTGCAACTCCCTCGAGTGGAGTCTTGCCCATGGTATAATGCCCATGCAAGATATCATCTTTCCCAGGAGTTTCGAGAGCTGTATCAAGGGCACTCTCCTGATTCTCTGAATTTGTTGAATTAGCTTGGATATGCTGATTCGTCGATCCTGGGAAAGGTATACCCTGCACTGTGACGAGTCTATTACTGCGCCTAGGTGTTGCAGTCTCCTTGAGGGAGTGAGATGACTTTTGGCCAAATTGACCGAGAATCCATGCCCCTGCAGGGTTCGGATTGTGGTCTTGAGATCTACCCTTGCTTGTTCCTGAGATCTGGACTGGATCAAGATGTCGTCCAGATAGAACTGTACGCGAACCGGCATCAGTCTGAGATGGGCCGCTATTACAGCTAGAATCTTGGTAAATACCCTTGGCGCTGAGGATAGTCCGAAGGGTAGGGCCCTGTATTGGTAATGTCGGCCCGCGTAGGTGAATCTGAGGAATTTCCGGTAGCTGGGATGAATGGGGATGTGTAGGTACGCCTCTGTTAGGTCTATTGAGGATAGTAGATCCTCTTCCCTGACGCTGGCTAGGATGGATTTCAAGGAGTGCATCTTGAACCTCCTGTATTTTATGTAATAATTCAGGCCCTTCAGGTCCAATATTGCTCTCCATCCTCCTGACGGCTTCGGGATAACGAAGAGGATGGAATAAAATCCTCTTCCTTCCTCTCCCCTTGGTACCCTCTCTATGGCTTGAATTGACAGGAGGTGAGCTATGGCCAAAGTTAGCAACCTTGCCTTGTGTACCTTTCTGGAGATGGGACATCTGATGAACCGGCTTGGTGGGGGAGAACAGAAGTCTAAGGTCAGGCCATGCCTGATCGTTTCCAAGACCCAGGAGTCGGTAGTGGTCTGCTCCCAGACCTCGATGAAATTTCCTAACCGACCCCCGATGGGAGTGTCCTGTTTGGCGTCACTTGGTGCGCTTAAAGGATCTGCCTCCCGATCCCCTATATGGGCGTCTGGACTGGAACTGGCCTCTGGCTCCTGTGTTTTGGCGATCCTGGGGTCGATCCTGTCTCGGATAGAAGGATCGCGAGCCTCTGGGCCAGTCCCAGGATTGCCCTGACCAAAAGGGCTGCCTCCATTCCGAGGGGCTTCCTGGGCGGGAGTCCTGTCTCCGGAAGTCTTGACTGCTTCTCCTATCAAACTTCTTTGATGGGTGTACTAATATTTTCCTCTTGTCTCTGCCTTCACTGACATGTGGGTCCAGTATGGACCCAAATAGGAATGCCCCGCTGTATTTGGACGTTGAGAGACGCCACTTGGACCTCAGGTCTGTCTTCCAATTTTTGAGCCACAGTAGCCTACGCGAGGCTACTGTGGCCGCAATGGATCTTGCCGCGTACTTGGTTGCGTACAGCGAAGCGTCAGCCGTGAATTGAGAGGCCGCGAGGAGCTTGGCCAATATCTGGTGTACTCTGACCTGATCTGGAGGCACCGTGCTTTGCAGCTCCCTCAGCCACATAATGCAGGCCCTCGCGAAGAATGATGATGAGGTGGCTGCTTTGGCCGCCCAGGCTGCAGCCATGTGGGAGCGACGGAGGGAGTGTTCAAATTTCTTTTCTTCCGGTTTCAAGGCTTCCGCCATGTCTCCTGGAATCGCGGAGGTAGAAAATAATGAGATCAAGGGGTTATCTACCATAGGAACCTCTAACATGTTCGAGAATGAGGGAGAAAGGTTGAACAGCTTTCTTTCCACGCTATTGGGCGCCGGTGGGCTTGCCAGTGAGGACCATTGTTCCTCTACCGTGGTCATGAAGACCTCCGGACATGGAATGTACTTATCCTGTGAGACCTTCTTGGCA